GCGCGTGCACCAGGAGCCAGGGCCCAAAGACGTAAACGATGGATCAAATTGAGGGCCAGGGTCAAGCAAATCCAGTCCCTTCGCCTAAAGGGCAAAAAGAAGCTCCGTAAAGGACGGTTTTTCACAGTTGGAGGCCGTTCCACCATCTCATACGGGGCGGGGGTCCAAGGTTTTACCCCCCATGAGGTGAGTTCCATTCGCAAGCTAGGAGCGATAGCCTCAGGACGTTACACCAAGTCGGCCAACAACGCGCTCTGGTGGATCACTGTCCCATATAAAGATCCAATAAAGCTTATGTCTCAGGTCATGGAAAGATACTGTATAGAATTGTGGAATGCTTCATCCACCAGACCTGAGCTGCGCACGCACCGTGACCTTTTAAGCATCAAAGAACTTAGAGCAGCTCGCCGAGCGGCCGAGCAGGCCCTGGCCACATCCACTAAACGTAGCTGGTTAGCCAAAGCACGAGACCCAATTTCCCAGTTACTCATGTGGGTCGCAGAAGTCGGTTGAAGGATGCCAAACGCAACAACATTCTGCGACACCAATGGCCGTAGATGGGACATTTTAAAAATCCCACCTAGGCGTGTAACAAGCCACATGGCAAGCCAGTACAAGCAGACGCTGGCCCAAGACTATGTTAGGTCTAAGTGTAATCCAGAGGCCCCTGTGGCCTCGGAAGGCCCATGGGCCGAACAGTTTTTATAGACCCTCAGCAGCAGCCGGATGACCCGCTCAGAGGCAGCAGCGGCCAGGCATGTCTTCTGCGGCGCGCTCCCCACAGGAGACAAGCTAAAAGCGTGGGGCTTTAAGGAGGTAGGACCATGCACCTACTGTGGTGCTGTTGACACTACCTTTCACCGCATATGGGAGTGCCCACATGGAGCCCCAATGCGAGAGGAGTATTTATCAGATTATGTAGAAGCAGCTCTAACAGCAGGCCCACATGACTTAATGTTTTCGCGCTTATGGGCTGTGAGGCCAAACTCGCAGGTGTGCCCGCCGTGTGGAGATTGGAATCTCCAATATTTTGTAGGAGCAGCAGATGGTGGGTCAGTATTGTGTAGCCGCGAACAGTTTGGCCTCTTTGAAGCTTCAAGGCCAATCTATACAGACGGCTCTTGCATTCATCCCACCCATCCTTTCCTCTCTTGAGCAGGCTGTGCGGCAGTCCAGCTTGACGATTCGGGTGGGCTCCTAAAGGCCCTCAGGAGCCCGCTGCCAGATATGCTCCCACAAACCTCAGGCCATGCGGAACATGCAGCGCTGCACCTGGCGGTGCAGCATTCGACCTAGCCCCGAAGTGCCCCTTTTGTTATAGACTATGCAGCGCTGCTCAAAGGGCAGCGCTCACCGCATGCAGTTCTGACAGGCACTAATGATTTTGCAGACCACTGGAGAGGCATAGGAGAAGCAATCCCAGTTGGCCAGCGGCCAGTCATGGAAAAGACCAAGGCCCACCGCGCACTCGAGGGGGCAGAGAGCAATGCAGAACTCCAGCATTTTCTAGGCAACAAGGCCGTGGATTGGCATGCAAGCCAAGCGGCATCTTTACATGCCCCCAGCCCCGAGGAGGCACGCACAGTTTCAGCAGCCGCGGAAGGCTACCGAGACCTAATCATTGGCGCGACCAAGGTCCTCGGCCAGTGGCCCGAAGCTCGTGAGCTCTGGGATAAACTCTTTAAAGCAGCCCCTGAAAGGAAGGAGCGCCCATTTATACAGTGCCATACCCCTGTATGGCACGACAAATGCTTTGGATGCAGTACCTGTTTCAGAAAGATCAGCCCGTGCACGAAGTTCGCGTGTCAAGGGTTAAATGCAGCAATTCAAAAGTTGCTAGATGGCCAGCAGGGTCTAGGCCATGTGCTGCATGCAGCCACAATTGACGGCTCGCAGGTACCCATCATATTCTGTGACAAATGTGGTCGATTCTTAACTTGTAAGTCGACCAAGCTAGATCAGGAAGGCTGCCCCAGACCCAGAAAGCCATCCTCTGAGCTGCGCAAGCTCCTTAAAGGCCAGGTCCCTGGGTCGTCGGGGACTTTTTCCCACGCTTTCCCCATAGCCCAGCTGGCGCGTTCTATACAGCAGCAGGACAGGTAGCTGTCAGACCCTTCAAGTCTGGGGGTTGGGAGGGACGTCATAAGCAGCAGCAGCAGCAGGGGAGGGTTGCAATGTATAAGCTCTAAGAGTTTCAGGCTTGTGCGTGCCCAGTTCTCAGTTTTCTCGTCGGCAATGGATTATGTACCATGTGAACACCACCGCGAATGCGGTGGATGGTTGCGCCGGGACAGGCTCGAGCACGAACCATGGGTCCATTGTCGTCGCCTCCGTGATGGCATGCGCTGCGGGGGCAAGTTCGTCCTCAGGACTTATACCCCACACCGCCCAGTGCATCCGCCTCCGCATGCAGTGAGCGGGCCCGCCAGCTTTGTCGCTAAACCCAAGCTGGCCCCCTCCTCCAAAAAGCGGCCTGCTCCCAAAGAGGAGGAGGACAGGGCCAGGTGGCCCAAGCCAAGTACGGCTTTTGAAGATGTGGCGGCCCTTCACCAGCGTGCTTTACGAGCAGAGGGGGAGGCAACTCAGCTCCGCCAGCAGCTAGCCACGGTCAGGGCGGAGCGGGATGCACTCGCCAATGGGCTGGACCGTGCGCTTGCAGCCAGCACCCAACTCCCCGACGAGGGACAGAGGGAAGAGGCTGGCAGTGATGAAGATTTCTAGGCCACCCCTTTGTAAGCCCAGCGGTCCAGTCGTGGTTATGAGGTATTAGCAGTTTCTTGTCAGTGAAGGCTGGGCTTACATAGAGGACATCTAACTTCACAGGCCTCTGGTGGAGGAGGAGTGGAGGGTTTCGAGTATTAGCGTGCGTGGGTGTGCGCGTGCGCTGGGCCTATGGCTCCCCTGCGCGGTGCGCACTGGAGGAGGAGGCCCCGTTCACCCCTTCCCCCCCGCCCTTCTGGCGTTCACCGCCACGCATTCCCTCCGCGGCCCCCCGCTCCTCAGGCTTCTAAATGGTCTGCGCCCCACCGTTTGAATGAGTGCAGACTCGGCAGATGTCAAGTCATTGGCAAGGATGAGGGCTTCATGAAAGCCCACAGAGAGCTTTCTGCAGGTCGGTGCCTTGTGGCTGGCCCAGCCCACCAGGCCCAAGAGGCTTTCAGAGCAGGTACCGCCTCATAGAAGATGAGGACCCGCCTCCAGAGGGTACAGGCCCTCTCGTGCCGAGGCGGAGTAAACCCTGTACAGGCTCAACGCCTACTAGTGGCCATTGACACCCGCCTGATGTTGAACAGGCCGTGGACATCGAGGCTGCCCCCGCAGTGGCACCCTCTAGGCACAGGCCACCTGCTCCCCTCCCTTCCCTCTTCCAATTCAACCCCGCTTCCCTCCCCCCTTCTGCCCACATTTTGGTTCCTCGCGGCTGGTAGTGATAATTTCTCAGGCCCGTGCTGGACTAGTGGACGGCGGTGGGGTAGTGGATTTGTGGGAGAGAGCAGCTGTGGGCGGGGGGGAGAGCGAGCGTCGCCCGTCCCGCTTCATCGTGCCACTGAAGTTCGGCACGTTTGTGGCGGTGGACGCGCAGGCGCGGGCGCGTCCGTGGCGCCAGGAGCGGGAGGACGAGTCTCCTCGTTCCTTTTTTCTTTGGTGTAGGGTGAGCTAGCTCGACCTGCACCTTTTGCCAGAAACCCAGGAGGAGGAGGAGGAAGAGGAAGAGGAGGATAATCCAAACGTCATCTGTCGTCGTGATGTTGTTAATGCCGAAGATGTCCATTGCTTCCGGCCCCCTCGGGACGTTTCGGCCCAGGCTGGTACACATTTGATATTGGCGACAGGTGCATGTATATGACCCTTGGAACTCGGACCCAGTTTAGCACTTACTGGTAAATTCGAGGCATATGATGGCAAACCATGGATGCCTGCGAGTGCTGCCTTTGAGCCTCAGGAGGTATAGAATACCGCTGGAGGCCTCCGAGGACACCTGGAGTAAGATGAGAGGAGTGGAGGAGGAGGAGGAGGAGGAGGAGGAGGAGGAGGAGGAGGAGGAGGAGGAGGAGGAGGAGAGTAGGGAAGACGGGACGGAGGAGGGAGAGGGGAACGTTGAGCCGGAAGAATGGAGCAGGGAGCAAGGAGGAAGCAGGGATCGGGGAGGAAGAGGAAGGCGGGAAGGAGGAACGGGAGGTGGGGCGAAGAGGAGGAGGAGGAGGAGGAGGAGGTCTCGGGGTGGATCTGGTTGGGGGTGCAGAAGTGGCCTCCTGGAGACCCGCCGGTTAGTGGCGGATGTTTTCGCTGTCCTTCGCTTTGTGGCCCCCGCAGGCATCAAGAAGCTCTGGGGGTGGTCGAACGGCCACTCCAGCACGAACGGCGCCGGGAGCTACAGCCCCAGCAGGGCCGCGCATGCGTGCGCGTCCGCCGACCTCGTCGCGTTCAAGACCATCCCGCGGGGCCCAGACCCGTGCAGAAGCAGCAGCCCAGGGGCGTCGAAGAGGGAGGTGAGGACCAGGGGGGCTGGACCTCTGGAGATCTGTGGCCCAGGGCAGCGCTGCGGGATCAGGTGATGATGGGCCTGTTGACCACCGCCACCACCATAAGTTGGATGGGGGGAAGAAGAGGAAGACGAGGAGGAGGAGGAGGAGGAGGAGGAGGAGGACTCCCTCCGCGTGTTGCGTCTCGGGGCGGCCAAGCTGGAGATCTGTGGCCCAGGGCAGCGCTGCGGGATCATTTGAGTTGGCTCAGCCCCCGAAGGAGCAGGTGTGTCTTGCCCTGCGAAGAAATGCTGGAAGCCCGAAGTCTTGCCTTGGGACCACCCCCTGGATGGACCCAGACATCCAGCGTCGTGATTTTGTCACGAGGTGGCCCCCCAGAGGTCTGGACCTCTTCGCCGGGACCAGCCTCTTATCATCCTGGGTCGTTTTTGGACGGTCCCGGGGCCCGATAGGGGCTTCCATAGCCCGCCCGAGAAATGTTAGCCATGTGCTGTCGGTTTTCTTCACCAGGCGAGG